CCCCCCCCCCCCCATAGTTTATATTTCTAAAGGCGTTGCACTTCCTTTACCCATGTAGAAAATGGAGCGGGAGAAATTGGAGAAGCTAGCCCGAAAGGTTTGTGTTTCTCCCTTATGAGTGGTGATTTATTTACTTGGTGTTGTATTAATTGTTTCCATATGATGCCCGACTTTAAGTTTCCATCAAACCTATTACTCCATCTGCAAAAATCCTATTCTGAGAATGCTTTTTCACTAAAAAGAGAGTCGTATTTTAACAAAAACTATGTTTAGTTATATCTAATGTTTTAAAATGTAAAAAAGTACCCCAAACAAGTTAGATGGGATAATTTTTTGTTAAACTGACAAGTAAACTTTTGAGTATAACTATAATTATATAATTCTAATAGTTGCATCTCACTAAAATTTAAGAGGTGTGCCTTGGTTAGAAAGGATTCATTTTATGTGACAGAGGGAGTAGTACATAGGGTTTTAGGATCTAGCATGTGGGTGCGGTGGACGTGAACCTTATTCTTTGAACTCTTTAGGGTCCCACACCAGAAGAACAAGCAGCTGCTGGCAACTCTGGGGGTTCAGTTTCTGGGAGTGATGCCAAACCCGGCGCTCAGACCTCCTCAACACACGGGGCTTCTCATGACAACTACCGAAACTACGGAGTCATCGCTGGTGTCATAACTGGTGCTGGTGCTCTGGGCTGGTATTTTACATCCAAAGGCAAGAAGAAGGAAGTGCAGGCATGAAGTGTTGCACGTTTTTTCTCCACAAGGGACCAAAAAGGACTTCGATGACTAACAATAAAAGTACAAAGCATGAAAAACAATGGGTTTTGTCATGCATTGTGCCCTGTACATATAAACCTTGAGTTTCTCTTATGGATCTGGGGTTTATCTATAACTTGTCTACCATAATGTTACTTCACAAGCAATATGGTATTTGGCACACTGGTCACGAAGTTTACACAAAATGGACTTTTCTTGTTGCCATACATTGAGTTGTTGGTTATTACACACAACAGTCCAATCACTCTGCAGTCTGCACCTTTCAATTTGGTCACCCACACTGGTATTCCATGGATCTGTTTGATCTGTTACAGCTCGAAAAGGATTCTCAATGGAAGAAGAGATCCTCGAGAGAATGAGAGAGAGAGAGAGAGATCTCCAAGTCTATCTTTAGTTTTAGTGTTGACGGGTCAAACTTGTTTTTCTTTTACTCCGCAAATTCCTTAGGCCGTGTTTGGGAATATCATTTCAATTAGTGTTGGTGTTTTACATTAAAAAAAAAACATCAATGATGTGGATTGATTTTGAAAATAGCTAAATGTTGCTAAATAGCCTTTTTAAAACTTTAATGTTTAATGCGGAAGTTGTTCTTGAACACACTTTTAATCACTTACTCCGTATTTAAAATAGCTCAAACATGGCATCACTCATTTTATTACTCGTAAAACTTTAAATTGTGCCTTTCAATGTATATACTTGAATTTTAAATTCCCAGAAAGTTTAATATGCAGTATGTTAAATTGAATATATTTTAGTCACACATTGTAAGGTTGCGTTTCGTTCGCCTGATATGATCTCATATGATTTTTTTAAGTTCTGATCTGATTCGATTTGGTATCATATAAATTCGACTTAAACTAAAACTAAAATTAAAATTATAATAGTTATATTCATAGTAATAATAATAACTAGAATAATAATAATAATCATAATCATAATCATAATAATAAAGTAATAAGAATAATATTAGAAATATTAATAATAATAGTAATAGTAATAATTATAACAGCAATAATAATAATATTAATACAAATAGTAATAATAATTAAAATGATAATAATAACAATAATAGTAATAAGAATATGTATAATAATAGTATTAATATTAATACAAATAATAATAATAATAGTACTAATAATTATAATCATAATAATAGTAGTAATAATAATAATAGTAATAATAAGAATATCAGTAGAAATAATAACAATAGTAATAATAATTATACATAATATTAATAATGTTAATATTAATATTAATATTAATATATAGTAGTAGTAGTAGTAATAATAATAATAGTAATAATAATTATAATCATAATAGTAATAGTAATAGTTAGGGGTAGACAAACAGGTGATGGAACCGGGAGTCAGAACCGAACTGACATGTTCGGATTGGGTTAGCGGCGTGTCTTCTTTTCAAACATTTATAACGGGTCTGGTCGGTCCGGTCCTTATAGGTTTTAGGACCCAGACCGGACTACTTTTTAATAATCCGTATTATTGTTAGTAACTACAGTGGGAACAAAGCCTTATGAGTTACACCCTTAGTCCCTTACCAATGTATTCCATTGTCATTGGAATTTCCCATTGAGAACTAAAAAAGGAGAAAGAGTACGACGGAGGTCGTCGATGAAGGGTTTGGGAAGCAGGAAAAGTTGAATGGCGCATGAAGAGATGGAGGAGAGGACGGGTTTAATGAGAACTTTGCCGGCACGAGAGAAAAGCTTGTTTTTGCGAGATAGCATCCTGGTGTTAAATTTATCCTTAAGATTGGCAAAGATTTCCTTTTTATTACATCCCATGACGGATAAGAGTCCAAGTAAGTGCCCAGATTGTTCACTTTGCAATTTCAGTCTACAAAGCCCCCATTATAAAACACCCCCATACTAAATTTTATTTTACGGGACCCATATTAACATTTTTTCGAGGACTGTATGCAATCTAATTTAGATCAATAATAACTGAGTTAAGCCTGACTAGAAAAAAATGATTCAGTCCAAACTAATTCCGTGAACAGATCAGTCTTCGATCTATTAGTTGAAAATATATAGTTATGAATACGTCACAAAGATAATAAGACAGGCAACTATATTCAACATCAACATTTTCCGAAGTGTTAAATTGCTGATTCAAGTGCTTAATCATGATCCTAAATATGGATTCCTAACTCAGTTTGTAAGTGTAATTTCGTTACAATCTTGGGACTATTTTTTCCAATTATAACAGACAAAACAAGGAAAAAGAGCAACAATGAGGGTAATCACTAAGTCATGGCATATAAATATGGATTCCTAACTCAATTTGTAAGTGTAATTTTGTTACAATCTTGAGACTATTTTTTTTCCAATTATAACAGAGAAAACCTGGAAAAAAAAGCAGCAACGAGAATGATCCCTAAGATATGGTATATAAAAAAAGAGACACTTCAAATGTCGTTGCCTTCATTGTTCGAAAACATAAGAAACCCAACATTTAAAATTATTGCAAGCTTCACAAATGCTACGCCACACTGGCTTAGACATTAACCAACTAGTTCCTCAACGGGCAACGAAAGGACACAAAGAGTATTCCATAGTATACAACATCTAGCTACCCAATAAAAACACATAATATAAAATCGATATAACAGTGCAACTTACCCGATAAATTCAAAGCAAATGGGGTCTTGAAGATGGTACTCCATCACAAACTATTCCATGCACAATGTGGATGAATAATCGTCGTAGAACATTACTCATCTCTAAGAAGAATTTGAAGTCCCTGTGCGCCCATTGTATTGAGGCCTCTCTTTCTCTGCTTGGGCAAACTCAACAAGCAAGCTAAAACACCCCTCATATTTGGGCGTTCGTCTGGCTTCACTTTCATGCATGCCACAATTAAACTGTTCAGGCTATTGGCAAGATCCTCATGACCAACTTGCACCAGTGCTTTATCCACAACCTTCTTATCACCACCTTGAACTGTACCAACCAACCATACGAATCGAGAACCAATGTTACCTTGCGCATTAATTGTGAACACGTCAGCAAGCAACACGCCAAATACATACACGTCAGACTTTTTTGTGCGTATACCTGTATAGATCAAGAAACCAAGTCAGCATAATGCCTATTGCGAACTAGTATTTACTCTCTCAATTAAAAAAAACTTGCTTACAACATCCATAAGAAACTAAATAGGACCATAAGAATACTTCAGAGCACCCGCATATGAAATGCTAACAATTCTACTGAGGGCCTTGCAAGAAGACGTCATACAAAATAATGCAATTGAAATTTACTAAGTTGAAATTCTCAATGTATGGCTAAGTTTATGGATGATGGATGAACATTTCTTAGAAATATACATCATTACATAATCTGAATATGTGAAATGATGAAACATTTGTTCCAAATTATTCCAAATTATCTTAAGAAACATTTATTCCAAATTGCATTAAAACATTTATTCCAAATTATCTTAAGAAACATGTCAATGGATTTAAAGCTCTAGTTTATCATGTTACACCGACTTTGAAAGTTAGCCATGAAACATGTGACCGTTGTAGGAAACATGGGAGGCTTGTAAATCTTTGTCACATAAAACTTTTACTTGAATTAAGAAAATAAGCTTTCTCGTTAGAGAAAACCTAAATACGTAAAGAATAAGATGAGTGGGATGCGGCGTAATTCCCCTTGTAAGGATTGAAAGCATTGAGTCCATTCAAATTCTAAACATGGTGCATGTGTGCTCTTAGTTGGAGCGATTTACCTCGGTTGGTTTCATTAAGCAATGATATATTATCATGGAGATCCCTCCTAGCTAACTCCTAAGAGGAGCTACGTCCTTATTTGGCACAAAAGTTTGAGGCAAGGACATCTTTGTGATGCCCTTAGTTGTTCAGGGCCATGTACACACTCCACTGATGCATTCTGATAGGTCTAGGTAATCTTTGAAATTTCATGTTGATACAAATAAATCTTTATAGTTGTTGGTCATCAATGACAAATTTCTAGTGAGCACGAGTCATCAGGAGCAATATCATTAGCACCGCCCAATGTGCAAAAAAACTTCAGAGATTGAAAGCTATGTAGAGCTTTGAAAAAAGTACAAAATAAGGAAGAGATTAACTTATTTCATAGTTTCATACAAAAAGCAATTAAGGATAAAAGTCTAGCTTACTAATAACTTGAGTTCTAAGCTTCTGTAGGGGGGGGGGGGGGTGTGAATAAAGCTAGTACGTTTGGTTTAAAAACTACATAACATAAGCAAAAGGCCATACATACCGTCATAAACTTCATAAGCATCTATAGAGAGAGCTACATCAACTATCGCATATTTGTTGTCTGCCTCGCTAAAATGAGCGATGAAACCAAAATCGAACACCTTGATGTTGAAGTCCTGCAAGCGAAAATGAATAATTATTATTCTTAATATTATTATTGTTGTTATTATTATTACTTTTATTCTTATTATTATTTTCCATCATCTCCGATGGAGTCAAAATTTCACCATTTTTGGCTTTGGGGTGTGATGGAATAAATCAAAATGGATCTCTAAACTATCTGCGCTTCTTTAATTAATGAAGTAGCAGTTAGTCAAACACTGCAACTTTCGATGTTGAGCCGGGGGTCTCTTTGGAAACAGCCTCTCTACTTTCGAGTAGGGGCAAGGTCTGCGTACACACACCCTCCCCAGACCCTACTCTTGTGGGATTTAACTGGGTTGTTGTTGTTGTTGTTATTCTTATTATTATTATTGCTGTTATTGTTCTTGTTACAGTTGGTATTGTTATTATTGTTATTATTATTATTATTACTATTATTATTAATATTACTATTATTAATATTACTATTACTAATATTACTATTATTACTATTATTATTAATATTAGTACTATTACTATTACTATTATTATTATTATTATTTTAAAGGTGCATAAGCTGCCACCAATGTTATTACCTCATCAAACATCACCTTATCAAGACGTATAAAGCCACATGAAATATGTCTTTCGTGCATCCAAACAACTAATTTCGCAAATTGAGTTGCGACATATAGTCTCTTATCCAATCCAAAGTTTTCAACTGCAAATATTACCCAGTTATAAGTAACGTGAAGAAGAGTCTGCTTTCATTTTATTACAGTAACATATATTTAAGGTTTGGTTGTGACTTAAGGGATTAGCTTGAGTGCAGCACAAATTCACAAAACATGGAGTATATCATTAATTATTTTACTATTTGAAACAATACACATTTTGTTAGTGATTATGGGTGAACCAAACGGTTCATTAAGGGTTAGTGAGGAGTCTGTTTTCTTCATCACCATTTACAAGTCACTAACCCAATTATATAGGGACATTGCCTTTACTACTGCTCCAAAAGTATGTTGAGTAACAACACAATTGGATTCCACGAGAGTAGGGTCTGAAAAAAACAGAGCAAGAGGCATTTAAACATAATGATGAGACAATGGGTTTGACAGTATCGGGATGGTTTGACAATATCATGAGAGCAAGAAGCTAACAAGAACAGTGGTCCTAAGTCCTAACTAGTACCTACATCTTGTCACAATGGGTTTAACAATATTTCATACTATATTTTGGACTATTAAAGGAGCAGCCACTTTAACATAGAGGAGGCCTCTTTGAAGATATAATTTGCATAAAGTTAATTCTTATATAGTTTTCCTACCATCTCTAACTAAGCCCCTGGATATAGAAAAGACAAATTTGCAAGAGGAGGACAAGGATAGAATACCAATTAAGAAGTGTAAAATGAATTAAACACTCTCTTTACTTTAACACTTCATTGACCAAAGCTCTTTTTTGGATAGTCCCAATGTCTTTGTCAAGTTTCCATTTAAGAAAAAAAAGGCACATTGACCTATTTGCCCTTACTTATTACTCAACCCCACCCCCCCACCCCATGTGAGTAAAAGTAATGCCACAAAGATCGCTTCTCTTTTTCTACTTCATCCATGACCAATAATATTGTAAATCATAGATTTGTTTATCCTTAAAAGGAAATGAGAGATGATCAAGACACACAGATGGAAAGTGTAAAATACATTTGGGGTGAAAGGAAGTGAAACTAGCTTGAAATGCACTGTGTGTTTGGTGCCAATAATAATGTCAAGAAAAAAAGTAACATATTTTTATTTTGCATAACCAATTAAGTACTCCGTTAATTATTTACATCTAGTTTTATGTGGGATAAATACTATATAGATAATGACATTATAGAAAGATTTTATGATTCTCCTACCTGGAAAAGAATAGCTAGGGTCAATGACAAGGGGTTGGCTCACTATAGAATAGTCAATGAAGATATTACCTGGGCAGAAGGTGAATTCAGCCTCAAATGTGCCTGCGGCATTTTTAGATAATCCAAAACTACCAGTCATAGCTCTAAATTCATATGGAGCATCAGTTACCAAAAGTCAGATGCTTTCTATGGAAGCTTACCGACAAGGCCTTACCCTTCCCAGAAAATCTAAAAAGATTCAATCTTAACCTCCCCTCACAATGCTATTTCTGCAAAAACAATGAAGACACTAAGACAGCCTTCAACACACACTCCTTCAGTGTGATATCAGCAAAGGGGTATGGGCTCATTTTTCTCAAATGGTGGACAGACCTAATTACAAAGAGGGACTAACTCTGGCACAGCACATGATGGGATGGTGGGTCTCCAACACTCCTAAGAATCTTAAGGGAATACTCAGAGGTGTCCTTCCAGGTTTAATTACATGGATTGTTTGGAAGAACTACGATTGTGATCGACTTGATAATTAGAGCTGGCAAATCGGTCGGTCAGGTCGGGTTCGGGTTCGGTCACTTCAAGTTCGGGTAATTTCGGGTTCGGGTCCATTCGGGTTCGGGTTGAGAACTGTATGTTCATGACCCAGTCTCATCGGGTTCGGGTCGACCCAACGGGTTATGACTTTGGTTTTTAAAATTTTTAAATTAACATTAACACTTACATTTTCTATTAAATAAATTCAAAATATCAAAAAAAAATGTATTAAATCTATAAAATTATTTTATTCTAAACTCTGAATTAATTTTTAGATATATAAATCAATATAAGGAATTTTAAAAATGTTTAAATTTTGGAAAAAAGTAAGATAATTATGCAACATCATTAAAATTTTGTCTGAAAATATAAATTTATACACTAAAAACGAATAGTAAAGTGTATGATTTTGAAAATTCTTACTTTAGCGGGTCGGTCAGGTCGGGTTCGGGTTCGGTCGGGTTTGACCCATTTTTAGCGGGTCATTTCGGGTTCGGTCAAGTTCGGGTTCGGTCATCAAAACCTTTGTTCAAAACCCAGTATTTTCAGGTCGGGTTTCGGGTCAAAAACAGGTCGGGTCATTTTTTGCCAGGTCTATTGATAATGAACAGCCTAACAGATCCAAAATTAGTAATCAAATTTCAACGCAGATCCAGCAATGGTTCATGGCCAACCTTCATAAAACATAGATGAAAGGAGGATATAATAGAGATGATTTGAAAAATTTGGGATTGAAGGCCTTCCTATATAGCAAGAGTGATGGAATCACGTAACAGATATGCGCAGAAGAGGAATGATAAAGAAAGATTGTTAATGCCAAAAGCTTGTTGCAGATTTTACTCTTTGCTGAAGATTTTTTGCAACAGGCTGTACACTCCAAAAGTGGTTTCTTGTATTCAAAATATGGATATGTCTTTTTCCAAAATTAATGTTACTCTTGCGCACAGCAGGCAACAAAATTTTCAACCAAAAGAACATTTAGGTTGAGGGCCTTGAGGCACATCTCTCCTTGCCATAGCCATCTTGAGATGATCCATTTACTAGGATCAGCTCATGCGTTACAAACTCAGTATTAAATGTCATTTAATAGGTGAGAATTGAGATACATGCCTAGAGTTCACAATCTTGTACTTTAAAAATATACTCCGTAAAAATTTTGCCCTCTCATTGAAACACTGTTTTCAGATAACCATGATTTAAAGCCGCCATACAACTATTATCAAAATTTAATACCTACGTGCAAACTCTCAACATGACGTGTGTTTGGTCTGAAGACGTGCTATCACAGAAGCATAAATGTCAAAAGCCAACAACTGTATCTTGCAGCTTGTCCTTACAGTGAACATAGTGGTAAAACGAATGGCTGAGCAAACCCACATTATGAATAAACAATGGAAATAGTGGAAAACAAGTCAAAACTAACTCAAAATAAAATGCAAGTTTCCAAACAGAAGGAAATTCTTAGTTTTTCATATCTTAGAAAATTTCTAAATTATTATACTAATTTATCTAACTAATGTATAAATTGGTACTTCAGTTGATGGTTGGAAACCAATATAAAAAAAACACAAACATATAATAATCTGAGAAGTATCCCATAAACAACATCACAAAAAATAAAATTGAAAACTCGTTTAGTTTATGCATTTTTCTAAATAACATGTTCTAGCATCACACAAATATAGTGGTATCATCTTAGGGATCATTGGGGTATTTGAAATGGAGTTTAAAATGTTCACGTTTTCGGGTTTATAGGGTATTTAAAATGAAAGTGTGTCTCAAGCTTTGATTACTATTCCCTAATGCAGTGCTAAGATCAACATCAACAAAACAATGGACCAAAAAACATACTCCACATACGAGATTATTTAAAATATCAACACGAGTGAATACTACTATTCAATTTTTTTAAGCTGATGAAAGCAGAGGCATATATGCTGATTTTACAAGTTCAAACATCTCGTTGGAGAATTTTCAGTTGCTTCTAAAAACACTTAAAATATCATCTGATAAACAGTTCATGTGTAACAAAGACCTCAAAATAGCTTCTGATAAGCAATTCATGGGTACCAAACGTCAGTTGAGAACATAGCCGTTTCTATAACAAAAAATTGACTTGGTCTGTTACCAATTGTAAACACTCAAAATCTATAACAGCTTTAATTTAAGTATCAGATAAACAGATTTTTGGGAATATTATCCAACAAGAAAAAAGATGAATATGTGTGAAGAGTATAATGGCTTAAATTTAAAAAACGAATTAATAACTCTTTAAATTACTAAATGGTTTCTTAAGATAATTTAAACGCGCGTGGGAAATATGCAGAAGCCCCTAACCTAAAAGTTGATGTGTTTCAATTGAGTAGAAGCATCTAAATCTAAATTTATAAATGGGCATGGAAAAAATTGGTATCCTGACCATGAGTTCAATGATGGAAGGGCCTATGAAATTACCTAGGCGAAGTAGATCGGTGCATGTTTGAAGGTGAGAAGAGGAGAAGCTTGGTATTGAAGTGGAAAAAAAGAGGGGAAAAGACGGTGATGTGTGGTGATGAAGGAAGCGCGAGTGGGATGGAGGTAATTTGATGGGAAAAAGACCATCAAACGTAGGCATAACTTATTAGGCGCTTATATTATTAGGGTAGATATGAAGGAGTTGGGCACTGATTGTGGTTTAATTGAAGAGTCCAAGTCCGTTAGGAGTTGGTTTTCATAATCATGGGTCACTATCCCAAGTATGCTAAGATATTCAGTTGTGCATTGTTCTGTAGTTCTTGAGGTGGGATATTCTGGATTGAACACTCTGTGTTTCTTCGGAGTGATCCTTACTTAAGAAGATAGTTACTATTCTTATTCTTCTACTTCCATATTTATAGATTTACCATTTGTTATAAACCACAACAGAAGCAGGAGAAACAAATATACAAACCAATATAACATTATTACCAGACAAATCATCCCCTGACAAAAACTTAGTTGGTTTCTCATCATAGACCACTGCAAGCACTGTCTGAAAACAGAACCCCTTTAGTTTCATCAATGTTGAATGCCGATCTCCACCCATCAACATCTCAATCTCATTCTGCATATTTTCACAAAACATTTAGACAAAATAGTAGATAAAGAATTCAAAGGCATGGAAGCTAACATACAATGAATCTAGTCGGATGGTCATTGAAGACCCTATGGGGCGGTAGAATAAACTCCCACGTCTTGATCAACACTTCTGTCTTCCCATTAACTAAACCTCGATACAGTTTCCCAAATAGAGTCTCCTGAATCTCATTTCCTTTATTAAAATTATTGGTCATGGCATTCAATTCTTCATAACTGTATAGTTCCACACCATCTGAGGGATCTATGTGTAGCTTCATTTTGAACAAGGAGCTGCAGAAAATCAACAACAAATAGTACATCTTCAGGGAAAATATTAACTAAAAGCTTAAAACAAACACAGCACTATCTAAGACTCGTCCTGAAAACAAAACAATTGAAGGCATGTTGTTGACAACCCCTAGAAGAGAAAAGATCAGATAAAAATGTAATTTGAAGTAGGATGCATAATTGTACTTCTCCTCCTCCATTTTTTCTTTATACGTGCGGCATAAATTTCCAAACATTTCGGCAATAGGTCCAAGTCCAAGTCCAGGAGGCATTCTCTCACTCCCACGATTGAAGTTTTCTTCTTGAAATAAGTAGGGAGCAGAGTTATACTTCATCAATGCCGCCCTCAACTCTTTTAGCCATTCCCTTGAGTCGGTGGCTCGGCTGCTACCGTCCATCCAGCAAAGATTGAATAGTTCCTAGGTGCCCTAGCTGCGAATCCGCAATTTATATCCTACATCCGCCGCTTACCGTTCTTCCCGTACAGGCGTCCATTTTGGAAGAAAATAGATCGCAAGTCAAAAGCGACGAAGAGAATCGTCCGGCGGCGAGGGAACGATGGGAGCACCGGCGACCACGAATGAAAACGAAGGGAGTAAGGCCATGGCCATAATTGAGACTGCCTTAGATCCAGACTGCTGCGCTGATCAGCAGGACGTGCATTGGACGGGAAAAAGATGCGGAATATTTTGAAATGGTATTTTATAAGAGCAGGTTGCATGCCCACTGGATTGGACACTGCCCCTACGGAGGTCCGTGATTCCTACGGCAAACCCCAAACTAATCACCTCACCTACGTTAACTGAATTTCGTGAGTATAAAGTCAAAACTTTTGACTTTAAATTCAATTATACTTACGAGGTGTAATTGACGGGGGTTAGAAAAGGTAAGAATCATCAATTTTATGAACGAACTCCGTAGGGAGACAGTAGCTTCCGTGGCCACTGGAATCCAGTGGCCATGGAACCAGACTCATTTTATAATCCGAATTTATTTAAATACGTCAATAGATTACAATTTTTTTCTTTTCTCTCAATAACTTTTGTTTGTTTATCCGTTTCATTAAGTATTTGATAAAATAAAATATTCTTGTCACCTCTTGTTTTGTAAACCTTTTAATGTAGTTTTTTAATATGTAATTTTTATATCTTATTGATATACCAATTTGTAAATAAAATGATTTCAAAAAGTATGAAATTTTTCTTCGTACCCCGCAATTTGTAATCTATTTAGGGACGGAGAGAGTAGTAAAACATAATCTCTTTCCCTAAATAGTATTATATGTGTTTTTTTCCTGAGTCATTATCCATTAGTCATTATTCAAGTAAATGTTCATCATCACTGGACATTATTCCTTCTTCTGAACATTATTAAGTGTTATTTATAGAATAAAATAATTTAAGTGCTATTTAGGGAAGTAGAAAGCTATTAATGTACTTTCATTCTCAACTCTCATTAACGCCACATATATATAGACTTGGCAAAACAGAATCAGAATCGATTACCCGAACTGAATTATCCGAAACCGAAATCGGTCCGAAAAATGAAGATCCGATCTATAACCGAAAACCTGAAATGATCTGAATCGAATAGTAACCAAACTAAATAATTCATATCCGATTTAAATCCAAAACCGACTAGATCCGAAACCGATAATATCATATCGATTAAACACAAAACCGATTAGATCCGAAGTCGATAATATCTGAACCCGATTAGAACTAAAACCGATAAATTTAGAACTGTGTTTGCCTTTCAATAAGCATATTATATTTTTAAAATTTTTACTTTTATTTTACCATTTGAATTAATTACATTACTTGCTCATTCCCTCATAAAATGGATTATCATGTTGAAAAAAATTACAAAACCCCATGCCTTAAATTTATTATAGTTAGGAATTGAAGATAAGTTATACATATAAAATTTGGATGAATAAAGTGAGCCAACTATTTGGTTAATAACAAAACTAAAGGAAATAAAATATATGAAAAACAAGGTGATCAATTGAAAAAAATTAGGTCTAAAAGTTGAAGGTGGATGGAAATTGAGCAATGAGTTGAATGATGACATAAGAAAATTGATAAGATTAAGCACGGAAAGTGAAAAAGAATGGAGGAAATTGATAAGATTCAGTATTAAGTTACAAAATCTAATTAAAACAATCTTATTTTTAAGAAAAAAGGAAGAAAGACCAAAAAAGGACTAAAACATTGAAAATATATCAAAATAGGTGTAACGCCTTATGACCCAGTCTATTAGAACTGATTAAATTTAATGAATTAATTACTAACCTGGACCAGGTTCGGGAAATAAAATCTTTAGAAAAAATATTTGATCACGTCATAATATTCATCTTGACGGTTTGATTCCAGAAATGCAAACAGATCTCAATTTGGACCCGTTCGTGGGAAAAAAACGCATACCGTTCAGGTCAGATTTTACACCACGGAACAAATTTAAGGGAGGTAACTGTTAGAAATGTCAAACAAAGGAATAGTGTCAAACAAAGGAATAATATTGATGACTAAGATAATATCCTTGATTGGAATCAAATTACCAATCAAAGATATTTTATTATCTTCCACTTACCTTCCCTGATTGTCTAGATTATTCACTTTGTAATATTTATACTCATCATTTGATGATGAATTGAATAAGATGAATATTATGCTGTGAATTCATTCTAATATTTCTAATATGGTATCAGAGCCATCATTCGATCAAACAATTGAATGAAACACAGCATTCATCATATACCATAAAAAAATGTCCGATAAAACTCCTCAAACGGGCAGTTCCATAAACACAGAGGAATCTGACCCGAAAAATCAGCCGATCAATCTTGCACAAATTCTGGAAATTTTTCAAAATTTTCAGAATTTGACACCCAAGGCCGAACCTATCGAGAGCTCTTCCAATCAGCCATTAAATATGGCGGAAAAGCTCAACGATAGGAACTACGCCATTTGGGCACGCAAAATGAGTCTGGCGTTGGATGGGAGAGGGCGGCTCAAGCACATCACTGCCACACCTCTCAAATCTGATGACCCCAAATTTATCAAATGGAGACAAGCAGACTCAACGGTTATAACATGGATTCTAGAAAACATAGAATCGGATATTGTCAATCAATATATCGATTATCCTACTGCTTGGGATCTGTGGAAGGGAATCGAAGCCACCTACGGCTCC